GCTGCAGGTTGGCTGGGCAGAATCCACATTCACCAGTTCTCCTTATATGATTCCAAGGAACTCCCAGATATAATCCCTCTGCTATGTCCATGGTCAGCCTTGGAGTTCCCCTGAGAAAGAGCTCGCCACATCTCCCCCCAGGAGGTCTCAGAGTCATTCATGTGGCCTAACCACCCCAGCTGCCTCCTCTCAACGCGAAGTTGTGGTGACTCTACTCTTCCCTGATATCTAAGCTCCTTGCACCATTTTGAGAGTCCAACCACCTGGCAGAGGAAACTCTATGTAGCCTTCTGCATCCATGATCATGTTGGTCATCATTTAAAGTTCATTATCACAGATGAGGGTTGTAATCCAGAGCTTCATTCTCTGGTTTACTATTCTGTTCATCCCACTGTAGGTTGGCCCTTTCCCTCAATTTCTTGTTCATTTTGTTACGCTGATTTTCTTAAAAATCCAACTTATTGATCTAAAGAATTAACTACAGGCCTTTTTAAATCAAAGTTTTTTTTGTTTTGTTTTTGTTTTTGATAAATAGCAGGTGTGTCAAAAATATACTTTTTGAAGAATGGACAAGTATTTTGCATACAGCTCAGACTATGAAATGGCTTTTCTAGATTGGATTTTTCTCTAATGCCCTTACTACTTTCTCCCAATGAACTGACCAAACCTCTCCAGTCAACGAGAAACATAGCCCACAAATGAGTGTGGCAGTGAGGGAGTGACCATGGCTGCCAATTAAAAATCAGCTCGGTGCCAAGGGGCCGATCATAACCAAGTCCTTCTACTTCATCTTTTAACATCACATCCCATTCTGTTTGTTTTGGACCAACACTGTCACAGAGGGTTCTAGCTCCTGAATAAAAAAAAGATAAAAAAAAATACAAATAAAAAACAAACTAAAAAGATCTAGGCTAAACGGTTTACACTCAGATTAAACAGGAAGAAACAGTCTGGAAGAGGGTGACTGGTTTTACAGGAAGAGATGTGAGCTCAGAGGTTTGACGGGGCAGAAGATCGCCCGTGTGGACGGCTGGCTGCTCCTTTGGACGGCGTGTCAGCGTTGGCTCGGAAGCCGCTCTGCCACATCTGGGTGATGCAGTCATCATTGTGACAGGCCTGTCCGAACAAACTGGTGTACTGGAGACAGATACGACCGTCGTCTCCGGATGGAGAGTACGCAACACATGCGCCACCCTAACATTGAATATGTTTCCCAAACTGGCGAGCTGGTGGCATGTTGGTGACAGGGATTAACTGTGACATCAAATAAAAGCATGATTATGCCTCGCTTAAGAAGTCCATAGATCAGACAAGACAGGGGATGACTTCAAGCGCCAATACGGTAGTTAGTGGCATAACAGAAACCGTTTTCACAGAGTTAAAGTTTAGCCTTACGATGGCAATAAAATTTTCACCACAAATTAGTCACATAATAAATAGTCATCACTCACAAATGTAACAGGCAGCAGGAAAAAAAAAGCTGAATGGATGGAGGAGAGAGTGAAAGTAGACATTGCCAAGAGGGGGTTTACGTTGCATCACCTTATGCAGGGGTTTTATTTGTGATGCATTCAAATGAATTGACAGTCAGTGAGAGAATAATGTGTAATCATTAGCAAAGGGTTTGCAAATTATTTATGTAATGAGAACCGCAATAATTTCATTTAACTTTTTCTAAAGCAACCATTAACGAGTATCTTGGAAACCAATAACTGTCACAAATGCATTCTCTTAATTAAAACAATAGGTATCATATTGCAAGGCAAGATGTCAGTCAAATCCCGGCTCCCTCCACACAGCAATTTACAGCTAAAGCATTATGTGAGAGGGTGACACAAATAATAGCTATTAAACTGTCAGCAAGTGCAGCCTGGATCACATTACTGAAATTAGCCCAAGATGCACTATTATAAACAAAGTCATCCTCTCTTCTCACATGCATCCATTAGCGTGCATGCATACACACACACACACATTGGTGAACAAGCCAAGAGAGAAGGTGGTGTAGAATTAAAGGAAATGTTAACAGCTTTGGGCTAAATTTAAATTTACATTTGCTTTTTCAAACATTTCCTTGCTAATTTTGAGCGAACATGAAACTGAAAATAGAAAATCATCAGGAGTGATTTTTGGATGTTTATATGAGCGTCAGTCTGGTCTTTGTGAAGGTTACAGAACAAGAACAAATACCTACAATGCTAAATTAATAAAAGAAACCTCAATTGTTTTTGGCTGACGCCTAACAGCAACACAGTCCACACTGACCCCTGCTGGCTTAAAAGTGAAATGGAACTAAAGCTGCTTGGCTCAATATTTTCTGTGCGTTGCCTTTAATTATGTAGATTTATTACTTCTTGCTTTATGAAAATATTTACTGTATTGCAGCTGCCTTCTATGGTTTTTCTAACCCACTTATGTAGAACCTTCCACATTTGCATGAGTCTAATTTCCTTTATGTTTTGAAAGGACTTCGTTTGAGATTCTCATCACTGTGCTTTCTGCTTTGGAGCTTGTGATTTTGTTGCTGTTTTAAGCCTGATTCATGTTTATGTTCATGTTTATTTATTTAGCAGATGCTTTTATCCAAAGCGACTTACAATTTATAACCTATAGCGCATGTTGTGATCTGTGGGGGAAACCGGAGTACCCGGAGGAAACCCACGCATGCATGGGGAGAACACGCAACTCCACACAAAAAGGCCGCAGCCGAGTTTTGAACCTTCAACCTTCATGCTGCGAGGCAACAGTGCTAACCACTGTGCCACCATGCAGCCCATGCTTCTCTGTTAGCTCCAACAGGGAGAGACACGCACGGACGGAGACACTTTGCCCTCATACTGTATGAGGGCAAAGTGTCTCCGTCCCTGCTCATACTTCTCCGTCTCCAGGGGAGTGTTGCAAAGCAATTCCCCGCCAGGACAACAGAGGGCGTAGTGCTGTTCTGTGGTATCCTGTCATGTATCCGGTCCAAGATAGTGTGTTTATATTGTGTTTTTTTTTTTTTTGTATATCAGAATCAGAATCAGAAAAAGCTTTATTGCCAGTGCTCCAGCGACCCAGAGCATAGGAACTTGACTCCGCAGCACAGCCTGACCAAGGTTACACACACACATGTAGACAGAACAGATACAGACAGACCACGAGAGCAGCCATAATGACTTTTTAACACGGACAAATTTGTCTCATTCTCCTCCACCTCTTCATGGGCTCGCCACCTCTAAACCCACGTTTCCTGTCATTTCCGTCCACAAATAAAATGCCTGCTGCACATCTTTTCACTCCTCCAGCCACGGGGGAATTAAACATTCATATTTTTAGAGTTTTTTTGTGAAGTATTCTTCAAGCTTCTCCATGTCTGCCGCTAGTTATTCTCAGCTCTCTTTATGTTTTTGAGTGTGCAATGGCAGCGGTGTAGACGACAGCGATGTCCTGACCAATCACAAGCTTGTGTTCTCCGTCTCGACGGACAGATGTTTAGAAAAGAGAGCTCGGCTCCGTACGTCCTTGCGGGGCTCTCCAGCACGCCCGCAAGGACGGATAATGGCGTTGCGTGTCCCCGCACTGACGCAGACACAGAAGCATGAATCAGGCTTTACAACAGGTGGATAAATTTGTACGTTTCTACATGTTGGTGATCTTTGGCTCCCCAAAACATCAACTTTATTTTCTAGTATTTAGTTGTTGTTCTTTTTTGATGCTATGCTAAGTTTAGATATAACTTGTGTTCACACATTGGTTTATAATTTAGACATGTCCAAAGTGCGGTCCGGATGCCATTTGCCGTTTCCGGTGTGATTTTGTGTGGTCCCATTACAATTCACTTTTCCAATTTTTTCCCCTGCACATTTTACCATCCAAAAACAATATCCCGCTATATTAAATAGACACTGGTTGAGCACTAGGACCAAGCAGAAAACAACTGCTTGTTTTGAAGTCTGTTTCCATTTGTATCGTCCATAAGCTCATCTATTGGCTCTGCTGATACTAACGTGTGATTGGCCATTCTTGTCACTTTTTTGTATACTTTCTGTACCCCCCCCCCCCCCCCCCCAGTCCTCATGCCAGTTGTGTCTCCCCACTTCTAAAGTCAAAACTACGTCCACAGTTTCACTTCCAGGCAATTTTTTGATCAGTACAAAAAAAGTTTTTAAAATTAAAAGAAAAAGAAAACACATTTTTGTGGTTCGTAAACATTTTTTATATTTAAAAAGTTACTTTTTAGTTCCAGTAAAGCATTGCATTCAGACTTCCTTCCTTTAACCAATGTATGTGTGTAGCTTAAACCGCACTGCAAAAACAGATTTTTAAGAAAGTAAAACTGCCAAGTATTATTTTTTTACATTTTTACTTATTTTTGTTCTAAAAAGAAAAAAAAGTCTAGAAAAATAGTATTAGTTAAAATAAGGTAAATAATCCTAAATATGATCCAAAGTTACTTGTTTTGAGAAGAAAAAAAAATACCAATGGGGTAAGAAAAAATTGCTTGGCTAAAAATCTAAAAAACTTAAAAAAAAAGAAATTATTCTAGTTATAAAAACTCAGCCAAGCAAAATTTGCTATCCCATGGATACATTTCTTTCTTGTGAATTTTTATTTTTAGACTAAAAATAAGATAAAATGTCTTGAAATTAGACTTTTTGTTTTACTTTCTAAGAAGTGAGTTTTCCAATGTGTGTATTCCAATGGGGTGGGGGCTATTTGAGTTCAAACCTGTCAAACTGAGTTCGGTCTTTCACCCGTCTGACCTCTAGAGGGCAACCTTGCAAAGATTTGATCATAAACTGGTCATAAGAAACCATAATGCGGCAATTTTAACCATCCTAATGCTTAAAAGTGACTGATACATCAACTCTTGGCCAACTGGAAGTGTGTTGTAATCAAGCTAAATATCAAATAATATTATATTTTCTGGAAATGCACTAATTGATGATTTTTGGTGGTTTTACATTTAAATGGTGAAGAGCAATGGTCTAATAAAATTAGACATTTATGTGAAATCATTTAATTTACAAACAGTTTTATTTGAAGTTGCAGAATACTAAGCGCACTGCCAAGATTCAAAATACAGAAGTTAAATGTCAAACATTCTTAAAGTAACTTCAATTAAATATTACATACAATTCTGATATACAACAACAAAAATCTACAGGTGAAAAGGTACAAAATATCCAATAATGCCTTGTTTTAAAGCCAAAAGGGTAAGCTTTGGAATTGATCTTCATAAGGAATGCAGGGAGCAGTGCACAGTTCACACACAATTGTTCCTTCTTTAGGATAAAAAAAAACCCACCTGGTTTAAAGGACAATGACAACAACAAAAAAACACGACACAAGAAACGCAGCCAAACCAGAAAATCACTATGACAACCAACTAATATATACACTTTTTTCCCCTTTCATTTTTGTAAGTCACTTGCTGAATGAGCTTAATTGTTGCTTTTTAATTTAAATAATGCTTGGACCATTATTTGCAGATTTTACAACCACTGGTTGTCATTTTTCAACGTGTCTGTCCAGAGTAGGACTCAGTCCTCTGTGAACAGGAGAGAGCAAGCGAGAGTCTCCATTGGCTGCTGGCGCTCCACTGTCTATTGGGCAGATGTAGTCTGCAGCTTCATCAGGTTTTCTCTTCCTGAGGTGGCTGAACTGGGTAAAGCCCAGCTTCTTTGGCTGAAAACACAGAAATGAAGGTTAAAGATAGTGATTCAAATGCAGCAACAGACATCAGTTTAATTGATTCTCTTACTTTTACTTTGGCTGTGGTGGTGAGGGGCATGTGGCCCGTGGCGTTGCCATACTCCCGTTTCTCCTGCATGGCTTGAAGACCGACCAGTGCGGCGAAGGCCATGGCCAGATGACGACGGAGTAACGTTTTCTGTGGAGGAATATTCAGAAGCAAGGCCAACGTCTCTGAGCTAAAACGAGGCTCCAGGATCTAAAAAAAACACACGTGGACAGCATTTATTCAGGTGTTGTGATTAAAGATCCAGCTTGTAAAACTGGTGATTTTTATCTTGAGGCACTATATAAAAGATCATTTCTTCTTCTTCTTCTCCTTTTAAAACACAATCTAGAGACTGAGAATCTAGATTATATCTAATCAGACTATGGTGCCTCTAAAAAACATCTGGCAGAGGGTGAATCAGGATGTTTTATGGCATAGATGAATTATTATGAAGAAATAAAAACATTTTTCTCTCCACACAGTTCCGCAATAATGAAACCATTATTTTTTTTTGTTCTTGAAGCTGTTGCTCACTCATATTTTCTGATGAGTTTCTATTGTTGCTTGAGTTTTTACTTCCACTTCCAACATTGATCCAGACATTCTAAGTCTTTCGAGTGTGTATTTTTGTTTCTGACACTTCTGCCACCAAAAGGCACAAAATATCTGATTGAAAATCAAAATCAAATAAAAGTTTAAAGAAGAATTTTTAAAATCAACAACAAAAACACAAAGTTTTGACAGATTTTCTATTTGCGTCTCATTTATTTAATTAAATATTTATCATTATCGCTGGTCAGCAGACCAGATTACCACAGTAGCAACATGCTGATGCATACGTGCATTTCTATAGCGTTTGTTTTAAATAACATTGCCTCTTCGTTGGTTTATGTCTGAGTGTAGTAAGGGATGTTTATGTGCTTTAGAAATTCATTGTATGTTATTTTTTTCTGCTCTTTATAAACACTGCGGACCATCTCATTGTTTACTCACAACCAGGCCACCATGAACTCCGCTGCCTCGTAGATTAGGAGCATACTCGGCAAGATCAACAGCTCTGAGCCACTCCATCACACGATGGTTGGACCACTGGACCACCTCTGAGGGAGACGGCTGTTTCTGGAAAAACAAATCTACTCATTATCACAATTTTTCTCCTTTTAAACTAAACTAAAACAAGATGAATAAATTAAGACCATTAAGTGATGATTGCAGCAACAGTTTAAAAATGTCATATTGCCACTCAGCATGCGTTTGCTGACATCTGGTGGGGATCTTGTGTAAATACACCTGATCTGACTAATAAACTCTTCACATGAACACAAAGCATCATTTCTGTCTCCTCTCCTTATTAGCTTACCTCATCACCTGGCCGGCGCCGAAGACAGTTCGGGTTGAACTTGTTGACATGAAGGACGTGAATGGCGCATTTAATACTGAGGTGATGAAGTTGGCTGGTGACCTTTAGGGTCAAGAGGTCATTCTGCATGGATGTGCAGACAAAGAACATCAGGGAAGGTTGGGAAAGTCACACTTTGATGCAACAGCAACACACGATGGAGTCTTACCACAGTGAGATATTGTATCATGCGGCCGTCGACTCGAGCTTCATGGAACTGGTCTTTATACTGAGGCAGACCAATATCATCCAACCATCCTGGGTGGAGAGGAAGACATGACCGTGCACAGCAGAGTTCTACTTCACATCACACTTAATGCATCAAGCTTAGTTTTCATAATTCCAAAGGTGTTTGCATATTATTTGGATGTACATTTACATATAAGACACAGTTTCTTTCATTACACGAGAGGCCCTGCTCTATAGTTGTAGATGCGACCCAAATGAGAACATCAAAACTCTTACGGGTGACCCAGATGTGGTCCAGCTCTGCGGATTTCTCTACAACCTTGGTGGTGAAGGCCCTCAGAGCAAGCTGCAGCTTCTTCCTGTGGAGTGGATGCTTCACACCCATCTCCTGAGATAGAAAATCAAACGAATAGACAAAAATCTGTTAAAAAATACTCTTGTTCACATTCATTTACTAAGTTTTATGATAAAACTAACTTTCTCAATTTCCTGAGGTGTTGCTGACAAAAGCGTTTGTCCATTTTCAACCCACTGTCTGGCGAGGCTGATATACTGGCCAAGACCGTAGTCCTCTAGCCAGCCGCACACCTGCTCCTTGGTCCACTGGCTGAATGGAATATTCATATCACTGAAAAAAAGCAGAAACGGTTAAAGGGTCATTCATATTTTAGTGAGTTACAGCTGCTCAAAAGTCTGGATCACTTGGGAATTCCTTTAACTTTTTAAAGTCGTCGTCGTCTTCCTCCGCTTATCCGGGTCTGGGTCGTGGGGGCAGCATTCCAACGAGGGAGCTCCAGACCGTCCTCTCCCCAGCCACCTCCACCAGTTCCTCCGGCAGGACCCCAAGGCGTTCCCGGACCAGATTGGAGGAAACTCATTTCGGCCGCTTGTATCCGCAATCTCGTTCTTTCGGTCAAAGCTCATGACCATAGATGAGGATCGGGACGTAGATCGACCGGTAAATCCAGAGCCTGGCTTTCTGGCTCAGCTCCCTCTTCACCACGACAGATCGGCTCAGCGTCCGCATCACTGCAGATGCTGAACCAGTCCACCTGTCGATCTCCCGATCTCTCCTACCCTCACTCGTGAACAAGACCCCGAGATACTTAAACTCCTCCACTTTTTAATGCACTTTTTTTTTCTTCCTGTCTACAAACAAGTTTTTACAGAAAAGCCTTGACCCTGTGAGGACTACTTCATTGAGCAGATCCATCTTGTGCTCCAGAGAGAGCCAGAGAAGATCAAGTGAAACCTCACCAGGTGGTTTTCCTTAATTTCTTCCTAAACTAAAGCTTCATTATTGAATCTTAACAATGTCTGCATGCCCTTGGTTCAGAATATTATTCAGACTCACTTCGGGAGTTTTCATAAAAAACATACCATTTCCAAGTGATGCCAAACTTTTGAACAGTAAGAATGTGCTATAAAATAAAGGAAGAAATAAATGTCAGAATCCCACTGAGGGTTACCGTGTAGGGTCTGACTCTGGAGTTCTGGTAAGTCTGGGTCCTGCTGTTGCTCGTAAACCCCCTCTTCTAAACTGACCAGCGTCTGGATCTGCAGCCTGGAAGCCTCCAGACTGGGTTCTCCGAAGCCTGCTCAGATAAAAGTAAAAGCATGTATAAAATGCTGCTATCTCGTTTGAAATAAAACACTTTCCGTAAACAAAAGGTCATACCAAAATGATACATTGCAGAAAAAATTAATTAAAAGAAGAATGATCCCTGAGAGGGCCAACAGAGATATACATAAAAACAAATAAGATCAAAATACATGAATCATATTTCAAGATAAAATTGAAAAATGAGGATAGACCAGAGAATAAAAACAAGTCATCATCAAACTACAAAACCAGCAATGAAGGTGCTTGTCTGACCTCCAGCGACAGGCTATTTAGGGGCCACGACTCGGTGCTAAATAACTTCCTGGATGTCATAAACTTTTAAGATTTTTGGTGTCTGCCTGATCAATCCCGGTGGCTGCCTGGTGGGGTCTGGGTCCCGGGCTCGGCCGGCTAGGGGGTGGGAGGCTGCGGGCGGGTCTGTGGGCTTGCCGCTGGTATCCCCGGGACTCTGCCGGCTGCTGGTTGTGGCCCCCCGGGGCGATCCTCTGCACCTCTTGAGGGGGGAAGGGGCCTTTCTGGTTGCAGTCTCCTTGGGGTTCCTGTATTCTGGGGCAGCGCCTAGATCTTTGGGACTTGGAGCTCCTACACATCTTTGGGGGGCGGATCTGTGGTCCCTCACTCTCTGTTGGACGCTTTTATAGAGAAACCTTACATAAACAAGTGCGTGTACACACACAGGTGCTCACATGGTGCTCTCATAAGTACGGGCTTGGGCACGTTCAACACACGTCTTAAGGCTGTCGTTGCCACTAAATGCACTGTGATTTATTATCGTGTGATTGTTCAGTTAAACAACGTTGATTGTTTATGTCTTCAAGTTGACACAGTGATATCTTGATCTTGTTGTATTGTGTGTCCCATATTATTTATTTATTTTTTCCTCTTCTTTCTCTTTCTGCAGGTCTAGAAGCAGATTCTTGTTCATTATTGTTTAGTTTGTTTTGTGGACCCCCCCCCCCCCCCTCTCCCCCCCCCTCTCCCCACCTTTTGTCTTTTCCTTTTTCTTTCACCTCTGACTCCGTGTCTGGTCGGAATTACAAAAACAATAACAATAAAGTTTTAAGTATCAGGCGTGACATTAAAGCAGACGCTTTGATGCTCCACCTGAGAGTAAATCTGTAAGGCTTGTCACCAGCATTCAAACATCAATTCTGTTTGCTTCACAACCAGACAGGACACGGGGGAAAAACTAAATAAAAAAAAAAATAAAAACATTTTTAAATTTCATAAACAGATGAAAGATGATTATACATGTTAGTTAAAAACAAGAAAATAAAAGATTTAGATAAAAGCAGCTTGAAATAAAAGGGTTTTTAGCTGTTTTTTTTTAAGTGTGCATACTGTCAACACTACACAAGGATAAAGGAAGATCACTCCAGAGTTGGGATGCAACAGTCTGGAAGGAGCGACCGCCTCGACTTTTATATCTGGTCTTTGGAACTTCTAGAAGGTTCTGGTGTGTGGACCTGGGGGCTCAGGTTGGAGCATAAGGCTTTAAACAGTTCAGTAGGGAGGAGCTTGACCATGTAGGGTATTGAAAGTTATAGTCAGGATTCTAAAATGCACAAATTAAGAAATAAATAACTGTGTAAAGAAAAATATTAATCAAAGCTGATTTGATCAGATCAGCACAGGTTTGTCAACTCTTTGTCTGGATGGTAGTACTCACTTTCCCCAGAGTTTTTTGAAGCTCCTGTTGTTCTTCATGTACTCTGGAGATCCCACAGCTCGCTGGCCAGGCTGCACGTGATTCTCTCCATGAGCAGGGGAGTTCTCGCTGTCTTCAACTTTCTGTGACTTTCCTTCATTAAGTTCTAAAAACCACAGAACAAATATGAGTGGGATCGTTTTATTGTCCTCTGGAGGGCCGGTCACATTGTATGCTGCTTCGTGAACATGTTTGTAGAGTTTATAAAAGCAGCTCACTCAAAAATAGCATGTTCAAGTAGAATCCTGCCAAGTAGCACAAATTACACTCTGTTGATTGATATCTATGAAAAGATTAGACGGGTTCCTGTTGAGGCAAAGCTATAAAAAGAACATCTTGATGATGGGAACAGAGCAGTGAGCCATCATGTATTTTTTTCATGTTCTATAAAAAATATAGAGCATTTTGAGTGAAGCAGAACATGCAGTGGGCTGGAGTTTCATCCGAGTTACAGACCATTGACTCTAGCTAGTAAATCCTCGGTTCACGCTCCATGAAGAAGAACACGTTTGACTTTATTTTATAAGGTTTGGATTTCATGAGGAAGTTTGTAGTCGAAGCAAATCTATGAAGATGAAATCAGGGTGTGACTGGAGCTGGTTAATCACACTAAAAACAGGGTGGAGCTGAGATAAATGTGGTCAGTCCAGGCAAGAGAGAGAGGGCGTGCTGGGTGAAGAAGCCTACCCCGTGAGCCATCTGCTCCATCAGGATCTCTACATTTAGCTGTGATCAAACGCACCGTGGTCGTCTGGTCAGGAGATGGCGGTTTTAGCTCCAAAAGGGAATCCTGCCTGCCCTCGTGGGAATCACTCTGGACTGATTCTGCTGCATGCTAATGGCTCATTGAAACTCACCACCCATGATATCATAAATAACACTTGTCAAAGCTTTAATATGTATGGATTTACTTTGGAAGGAGTCTCCATCTTCACTCCCATCTGGAGACTTTTGACTCTGGATATCAGTGCCACTGTCTCCAATCCCGTTTCGTTCCAAAAGCGAAGAATTCACGGGCAGAGTCTGGCTCCTAGAGTCATCCAAACCATTCTGAAGAAAAGACATTGGTGTGTAAAACAAAGCTGGAAAACCCCTTTGCATAATTTACATATCTTTATGCTTTAATACCTTTGGTAAATAGGCATCCGTTAGGTCATTCATGCTGCTCGACGCCAGAGGCTCCGTTCTACGGAGAAGAAAGGAACATAAATTGAAGTTAATCAGATGTAAAGATAATAGATTAGCATGGACTGAAGGCTGCGTTACCTGGACTCGTGAAGAGATGTTTGTTGGGAGGACGAACTGTTTGTTGAAACCTGCAATGAATAAAAGAAAAAAAAAACTTTGCTACACTGTTAACAATGTTAAGACTGAATCAGATCTTTAATCTGCTTCTCTATCTATGGGCATTCCTCAAGGGTCTATATTGGGCCCAACCTTATTCAAAATCTATATTAATAACATTGTTCACGCTGTTGACAGTTCTCATATACATGTATATGCAGACAACACCATTTTATATGCATGCAGTTCTTCCTTGAATGCAGCTTTGTCCTCCTTGCAGCACAACTTTAATTGTCTTCAACATGCCTTCTCCAATCTTCATCTTCATTTGAACACAAGTAAAACAAAGTTCATGATCTTCAACTAATTTACCACAATCAACTTTCCGCCCTAGTATTGTTTCCCTGGATGGTACAGAACTACAACTTGTCAGTTATCTGGGTATCTGGCTTAACAGCACACTTTCATTTGACATTACATTAATGTATTACTTTCTAAAGTCAAGAATTGGGTGTCTATACCGCAACAGGCCATCCTTTACTTATTCTGCGAAGCAAACCTTGGTCAAAATGACAATCCTTCCATCTTAGATTATGGTGACATCATTTATCCCTCCCACTGTCTTCATGGGTGACCCCGTGAGGAAAGTTGACCACTGAGCAGGGTTGATGGTTTATCCCTTGAGGTCCACGTGGCAGGGGTGAAGAGTGAGCACCACCTCACCCATTGAGCGTGATGTAGTCTAATGTTACAGTTCCTTTTAGAGACGCGGTGCTGAAGATTGAAACTGAAAGTTGGATATGTGGCTTTTTCTCAGCTGTTAACCTACTTTAATAAACTGCTGTTGAGGACAAAATGTCCTTTTGTCTGGCATTTTAGTTCAGCACAATTATCACAATAGTACGAAATGATCTTAAGTCACTTTGCCTTTGTAATATGTCTGTTTAAAGCTTGACCGTCGCGGAATCAGAGCTAATTATCAACAGTCAATTTGTGGTTTTCAGGAGATTTATTTTATTTTGGCAAGATCAAAGAAGCACGTCGGTCATAATGTCCGACCACAATTTAATGTTTTCATCGGACAATAACAAAACACATCAGTAATGTCCGATGCGTTTTTGCTAACACTGCCGTCGGATCTTCGCTCATTACTCATCACTTCCAACAACCAGCGCCATTTACGTTCCAGTAACTTTATCTCTATGGTTATTCCCAAAGCTCACACCTCCCTTGGCCGCTCCTCACTCCAGTTTCCAGTGACACTTGCGTTGTGTGATGTCTGAAGACTGTTGCATTTCTGCCTGAGGTGTTTTTTTTTTTTTTTTTTTGCATAGCAAAGCTGCCCTCCCTGTGAAGGGTAACTCTGAAGTGCTTTTTTTTTCCTCCACCATCCTTATATAAACCCTCTGATCTCCATTAAGGTAGTGCGACTCGGGTTGCAAATGACTACAGTCACCAATTCTTGTCATGTGTCTATGCCTATGTGTGTATGTCTGATCTCAGAATTTTGTGTACTGAAACTCTAATTTCCCTCTAGGATTAATAAGAATCTTTGAATTGAATTGAATTCCAACGACTGGAATGAGCTGCAAATAATCACTGAAGCTCACTATCTGCATTCCATTATCTACCTTCAATAAAAATACTTAAAAGATTGTTTTAAGTCTGTTTTGATTGCTTGTACATATTGTAAATGAGAACAGTTCTTTGTCTTTATGTCTAACAGTTTTTTTTATTATTTGATCTTGTTTGTTTTTATTTGATCTGTCTGTTGTTCTTTGGTGTAAAGCTAACTATGCGTCTGCTGCTGCAGCTGCTGCTTCTTGGCCAGATCGTCTTTGTAAATGAGAATGAGTTCTCAACCGACTCATCTGGTAAAATAAAGGGTAAATAAATCAACTTAAGTTATTTACTTCTGACTTCACATCCTCAGATTTTGAACTGGCTGAGTCAGCATTCCTCGTTAATCCATGCTCTTCTTCTTCACTGCTGCTTGATGGAGTCCGGTCATTGGACAAAGAACGGACAGCAGATGGAGCTGCAGAAACAAAATCAAATGTAATTTTTAATTTGGGAAGGGGGTGCCTTGTGTTTATAGTGCTGTGAAAAAGGTTTACCCCCTTAAAGTTTGCTTGTCTTTGCTTTTTTTCAGATCAGCAAACAAATTTAAATATCGGACAAAAAACTTGAGAAAACAGAAAATGCAGTTTTCAAATAATTATCAAAGGAAACTAACTTCAGACCCACCCAGCCCCATGAGTATTGGTACACCCTGGTTGTAAAAGCCTTGAAAACAACACCTGCAGTCAGACATTTGTGATAACAGAGCGTCTCCCACTGGTGTGGAGAAAACGTATTTCAATCTGTTTTTGCGAGCCTGCTGGAGAGCCCTGGCAAGGACAAATAATGCCGTTGCATCTCTCTGCCCTGATGCAGACGGAGAAGCATAAACTAGGCTTAAGCCATCTAGGTCCTGTAACCACACCAGCCCCAGACCATGTCACTACCTCCACCGTGTTTGACTGTTGCTATGACGTTGGTAAATGACTTGGATTTGATATAGCACATTCTAGGGTCGTACAACCCCCTAAAGCCGGGCGTACACTGTGCAACCTTTTCACTTTTTTGAGCCGATTTTCCAGTCGTGTGAGAATCCACGACATCGGGGCGAGTTTTGCGCAGAGCGGTCGTGTAGTGTACAGGGGGTTACGAGAGGCGATTAACACCACGTGACCAGCTGCCGATCAGCAGTCGTGAGGTTGCACGGACTTCTGGAGTGTTTAAAATTTCGCTCGTCCCTCGTGAGGGTATCGCACTGTTGAAGCGGCGCTGCGAGCAGCTGCAACCCAAAAAGTACCAGAACCACTCACAGCGCATGCGCAATCCTGCATCAACGCCGCTCGCTATTTCCCTAATAACACACGCTGTTCGTTTTTGTTTCTACATAATTTTTTACTCACAAGGATTGTCAATAAAGCGTGTCTGTCGTGTTCATGTCAAATTAAACTGATCACAAAACACAGATTTACTTTATTTCGTTTTACTCATCCAACCCCCATAAATCCCTGTGTGTCCTCCTGCAGCACTCCCGAAGGACAACAGGCAAGACAAGACAAAACAGTCTGACTTGTTGAGTAAAAACGGCTATTTTTAGCATATTTTTAGGGCCGACGTGTTGCTACCAGACGTACAGTGTGAGCAGTCAGGTCGCATGTGAGAACTGGGTCGTGCAGTGTGAGCACATGACTCGTGAGATCTGCCCTGCGAGGAAGTTGTACAGTTTGAGCTGAAGCTGAACACTGCGAGTGAAAAAGTCGCAGTCATTCACCCACCCACATGCAGGTTCACAAGCTTTGTGATGAGCTACAAAGTAGCCACAGCCACCCTGGAGCGCGTTGATGAAATTGATAAGTGCGAGGCTGCTGTTCACTGGTGCCACCCGTCCCTCCGACCACCACCAGAAGGCTAACCGGGTTAAGCGTCTTGCCCAAGAACACAACATGTGCAAGAGGTGGGGTTTCACATCTGTAACCTTCCGATTACGGGGCAGGCATTTAATGTCTCTGCATTTAACGCCTCTACTTCTGTCAGTGTAGTTGTTCTGAAATCCAGTGTTAGTTTAACATCAGTTTCAAAAAGCTTGGGGATCATTAAGACGTGTTTTCTTTTTACTAATGTTTAATGTGCTCCCATTTTCTTTTGGGACTCTTTCAATTGATATTTTTCCCCTCTCCTCTATTTCTATTGTTGAATCATGAACCAAAAAGGGAGACATTTTTTTACATAGAACCAGGCTAGTTTGGGTAGAATTTCCCCTTTAATAAACAATCTCATCATTTGAAATCTGCCTTTTGCATTTACTCATCTCACACTGAAATGTGCTTACATTAGTGTGACCAAAAAGAAAAGCCAGAAGAAATTTGTAAGTGGATAATCACTGTTACTATGGTTACTAACATACCTAAATTACATGCATAAATTACACAAGCTGACTACCTTGCCTTGAGACGTGAGAGACCTCTCTGAACTGTCTGCACTGGCTCAGGAGCAGCGTGAGTTCCTCAATACGTCGGTCCTGCAAAAATAGAGATAAAACAAAATAATAACAGGGCGTTCAAAGAAGCAGAACCACCTACCAATTATAATATTTATTAAACATTAAGAATTACTAACTACTAACTATACTCAGCTGCTGACCAACATGCAGAGTGCACGCTCCTCTTCCACCATATGGCCTTTACATCTAAGTAATGGATAGGGAGGGACTGACATAGGTCTGGCTGGAAGTCTTAGTTGTGGTAACCAGCTGCACTGAGTGTGTGTTTTTTGAAGTGGTGCCCATGCCTGGCTTTGCAATGGTTGTCCTAATGCAGCTCTCCTCAAAATTAAGCTTGGCACAGCAGAGCCTGCTTAATTGTGGCTTTGCCTGAAATGGTTCGTCTAAGGGTGTGTGTGTGTGTGTGTGTGTGTGTGTGTGTGTGTGTGTGTGTGTGTGTGTGTGTGTGTGTGTGTGTGTGTGTGTGTGTGTGTTTGTGTGTGTGTGTGTGTGTGTGTGTGTGTGGGTTCATGTCTGCAAGTCTTTAAAATCCAAGATACTGTGAGAAGGAGGGGGAATACAAAAGACCCTCTGTGCTATAAATGGTGGGAGGGTGTTGCCTCAGAGAAATGACACCGTCTAAAAACAGATGTGTTCCAAGATTTTAAATAAATCGGATGCAGGTTTGTCGATTTGCAGGGTAGTTAGAGTTGTTGTGCTAAAGCTACGTCAGCACTTGCGCTGATATGGATATGCTGTGCAACAGACAACAGATGTTTTACACAAACAGGAAGAATGGATTTCATGCTGTTTGTGGCTTACCTTTTCTTCATTAGCTGTTACAAGTGATTTCATCCCACTTCGGAGTTTCTGCACTTCTTGATCTTCAAAGCAAAACAATAAAAACTAAAAATATCAAAATCCCAAGAATGATCTAAATAAATATTTCAACAATGGATGAAACTGCTGACAACACGGCTTTCAATGAAAATGAGAACTAGTTTATTACAGAAACCTCCTAATTGTTGAGAAAATGGTCACTTTAGTGGAGTTACAAAGAGGAAAATTAAAGAAAAAGAAAGGCTTCAGTGGGCTTTAGCTTCCATTTTTTCTCAGAGATGCAGACACTGAAACCCTCAACAAGATTTTTTTAATAAACCAGTGGAAACTCTTTCTTCAGCCGGTAATAAATAAGATTTGTGAGGTAAAAATACAGAAGGCTGTTTATAGCAGGCTGTGGAGAGTTTAATAGTAAAAGCTCACCTCTCTCTGAGCTCTCTGTGGTCAGAGAGGATCTGGCCAGTAACTGAGTGTGCAAGCTCTCAATCTCAGTGTTCTTATTAAGCAGAAGCTGTTGAAGGCTGCTGATCTCTGTCTGCAGGTCACACACAGGAAAGGACTTGTTACACATTGTCATACACACCAATAGGCTTCCATGCATAGATAAAAGACGACAGCAATGTGCACGTTCCAGCCCACGTCCACACTCAAAGTCCAGATTTGGTGAGCCGGTCATTTATTTTTCCACCACTTGCTGAATATGAAACAACCACGAATACAAATGGAAATGTTTCTTTCTGTGTTCTGAAGCACAAAATGGAGGCCAATGGTGAATACTGAGTAGCTTTATTTAACATTTTTGTTTTGGTCTGCTTACTTTTAGAAAAATCTACAGTTGAAACATGAAAAATGAGAATATGGAGCAAATGTGTATCTATTTCAGTGATTGATTTTAGGCTGAGAGACCATCTAAAGGTTCAACAACCCTTTGCAGGTGTTTTGGATTCATTAGCTGATTGGAGAGTGATACTTTGAGTCTAGAATATTGAACCTTTTCACAATATTCTAATTGTTTGAGATTTTGAAAATGGGGCGTTCATAAGCCATAATCATCACAATTATAACAAATAAAGGCTTGAAATATCTGGCTTTGCATAGAATGAGTATCTCTTATATTAGTTTCACCTTTAAAGCTGAATTACTGAAATAAATGAACATTTGCAACACCTGTACATGTCTGAACTCCAGAAAAACAGCAGTCGGCCTCTCGCGTTAGACTCAGACTGTTATATGAGGAGTAGAGGTTTTTAGTGCTGACTGATATAAAACAAGATTTTCTCTAAATGAGACATAATCAGGGTTTGCACAACAGAATAGTGATTTTATGTTGAAAAGTTGCATATATTATTCATCATACTTATTTTAATTACAATAAATTCAGCAAATAATGTTTCTATGAAGGAAAAATGCCTGGTAACACTTCCTTTTAGTCCCCTAAATACTAAGTACTTACATGGTAATTACATAAGAAGTTAAAGTGTATTACTGTTTCCGAGTTCTTAAACAGTTATTACCGTGTAACTCATGTTTGACACTAGTTTTACTTTTATTAATCATTCCCAGTCAATACTGTTTAACACAATAGTTACTCTTTATTACAATTATACACTTGAATCACACAATAGTACACTTGAACTTACTATGTAATTATCATGTATATACTTAGTAATTAGGGCACTGTAGAAGGAAGCATCACCAAATGAGCTGATTCTTCCCACAGTTGTTTCACTGCGAGTTATTTTTACATTAAGTCCTTTTACTGACAAGCAGCCAGCTGACAACCCCAAAGGCTGATTACTAAAATCAGATGATGCAGTAAGGTTGTGAACTACATTGATCTGAAACTATTGCAACCTGTTTTCATATTCAAAACCATCTCATACACACTTTGTGTTTCTTTGTTTAAAGTTGTATCTGCTGCTGGTTTTAGAACACGTATTGCAGCCATTCTTAGAGTTGCAAGGTCATGCACCGTCCAGAAACTTAACACAACAGAAGGAAGTTTCAAGGCAAATGCTTTGTGGTCACATTTGCAGCGTGATTATTTTTCTAACACATAACTACTATGAAACCAGCTACTAAATCTGCATCTGTCACACAACTAAATACAGAGTAACCTCAGATTTTAGGAAGCATTCTGGACCTGAGCTGATGAAACATGATTCATTTAACTGGGGGGAACATCAGATTGGACAGAATTGTGGAAAGTTAAGCAGAATCCGGACACTGCTGAATTATTAAGTCAACATGGACGCTTTACCTTTGTCGCTTTGAGCTTCTTTTCATACTGAAGCTTCTGATCCTCCAGATGCTGAACTTTGTCTTTGAGGATCCTGAGTTCTTTCAGTAAAACCTAAAAAGCAAAATGTTGTTTTACACACAATAAACTTTTAAAAATGTGCTATTTTTTAAACACCACACACAGCGTTTGCTCTAATGTAACATGTGTGTAAGGTGTTGTGGTGCGCTGAGTGTTTCATGTCCACCTAAAACTAACAAACAATCCATGCTGTGCACGTGAAAAGCCATGCAGGCAGACTATTCCTACACTTTCTCCTCCGCAGCGGCACCGATGCTCTACATCTGAGCTACCCTCTCTCAGGCCGTGTGTGTTCCCAACAGGTCTGTCTGGAACCTCTTCTAAGTGGTGCATCCCATCTGAGGGTCCATCCCAGGACACCTCGAGGTGTTTGCTCTGGCCCTCGGTGGACTTAGACGGACACACCACAGGAAACCTGCTGTCAGTCGGGATCTCCGAAGACTTTTTCTCCTGGATCTTGCTATTGATCTCCTTCTGAAACTGACACATCTGCTCCTGCAGCTCACTAATGAAATTCACTACAGTCTGGCAGGATGCAGTAAGGGGAGAAAAAGAGAGACATTTAGCAAGCGAAGAAGAATCATTTTGTTTGCATTTGTGTGTGGATGCATTGTTGGTGGTGTCACCTTCAAATGGAATTTTTAACCAGCTTTGTTTTTCTTATGCAAAACTAAATCCTAAACATGTTTTTTTATGAAGACGCACATGCTTGACTGATGGACGTGTGTCTCTGGAGCATAAATAGTTTCATTCCAAACGGATTCTCTTCCAATCAGTTGCAAATTTAACACGAGCCACCCTCCCAGTCACTGTCTGCATCACGTCCCCCCCCCCCAGAGAGAGTGTCAACAGCAGCCAGGTTATGTCCGGAGTGTGGATACAGGAAGTCTCACTCGGGGGTCCAATATAGCAGATATGACAGATGATATGGAGGGCCTCCATGTCTAAATTTACACTGGAGCTTACTGGGCTCTGCAGTCAGGAGCCTCATCCTCATGTTTTGTCTGAGTGCATGAAGACAAACGTGTCTGTGTGGGGACTTGTTTGTGTTGTAGCTGCAGCACATGGTGAGACCAGCAAAGTGATGAAACCAAAGTGAAAACAGCTGTTAGAGTCATGAAAAAAAAAGAAAAGACCAAAGAGTTGATGGCATACTTTGAAGTTTTGCTTGCTTTTAGCACCCCCTCGTGTTGGTTATTAATTGACTGTGGTTGAGCCGAAAATGAAAATGTGTGTGTTTAACAGCATAATCTAACAGCTCAAATGTCTCCTCAGCCTTCCTAATGCCTACTGCACATCGGAAGCAAATGCGGCGCAGAACGGCACCAGAAAGGTTTACTCGCGACAATCACTGCACTCCGGTGCACACCGGGAGAGTCTCAGCAGCGAAGCGGCTTCTCTGGTCAACTCGCTAGATTAGGCAAAGCAAGGCAAGGCAGCTTGATTTATACAATTAAATTCAAACATGGGCAATTCAATATGCTTTACAATTAGCATTAAATGGCACAACAATAAACATGAGAACACAAATTTAAAATATACACAGATAAATTCTAATTTAGAGCTAAAAGAAAAAGACAGAGTACAGTGGAGATGATGCAGCTTAAGAAACAATTCATTCAAAGGCTGATGAGTACATCAGGGTTTTAAGTTTTGAGTTAAAAACACTAGACTTGGTGCAGATCCGAGGTCCAGGTTACAAATTCCCTCGACACTTAAAAAGTTCAGTTTATTTATGCAATTTATCATTAAACCAAAAAGAAGAAAATCACGTTTTATACATTTGATGTCATATATGACGTTGTACCTCTGTACTGCCGGGAATAAATCCATAAAAACACTCCGCTGCACTTCTGGAGCGATGCGTAAATAAGCTGTTAGGTCACACGTAAGCTTCATATATACATAATTGCATCGCTGTAATACTTTCAGTTTGAAAATTACTGGGGATTTTACACTTAAACCGTACGTGATTTTCTATCTAGCCCTATGTTAACTGCGGTAACCGATACATGCAAGAAGCGGCTTGTGGAAAAAACACAATCCAATCCAATGTTTTGGCGTGCCGCTTCTGGGATGCATCTGAAAATTGCCGCACCGCGGCTGGTTCGTTGCACTCCATAGACTATAATGGATTCTATTTGAAGTTGTGTCAATTCGCATCTTTTCCGCGCTGCTTTTGCTTCCAGTGTGCAGTAGGGGTTACTATCTACAGATTCATCACCAACTCAAACAAATCAGCTGTGATCATTATCTAAAACATGCAGGAAACATGCTGGAAGCAGACTGCAGCTCCACTCAAGCCCCCATCATTCGGGTCTGGATATGAAGCAAAACGGGAAGTGACAAAAATTGCAGTTCCACCCTCATCCACTGGGGGCTGGTGTCAGAAGCGAGCAAATTGCAGAAATAAACATGTTTACAGCCTGGTTCCAAAACATGTTTTTGGTTTAAATGATCTAGTTTACACTCATGACAACTCTGAGGGGGGTGATTTTTTTTTTTGTCACTCGTCTAAGTGTATTAAAAGCCTAAAATTCTGAATAATTAATGATCATCAGACCCACGTGACCGCAGAGCTAGCTCCGGGAAAAGGCTTCAGTCTGAGCCTCGGCCTCACCTTGAATCTGTTCCGCGATTTTCAGTCTCTCAACTTATACCATTAGTTGTGCCGTTTGTGCTTCTTTTTGGATATGAATTGTGCAATTGTTGGACAAAATGACTTGCTGTGGTATTAATTGCACTAATAGAGCATCCAAGGTGTCTCCACTTCAATTTTTTCAGTAAGTAAAATTATATCTATATATTTATGTTGATGATTTTACATCACTGCTGCTCTTGCACTAGCTGAGCTTAGATTTTAACATGTACTTTTTAAACATGAAATTAAAATGTAATAGGGTAAACCCCAGTGCATTTAACAAAATGCTGCATTTTTGAAAATGGGTTGAAATATAACACGTTGGTGGAGCTGGGTTCTGACTATCAGTATGGCCTCCCTCCCCTTAGCGGCAGCTCGGCATATCTCTGACTGCAGCGGCGACTGTCTGCTGCGCGGGCTGCCGGCTTCTGGAGCTCTCGGGAGACCTCTGTGTTCCACTCGGTTTCACCCAGCGGTCAGCCCGGCGTATCTCTGGCTCAGAAACTCAGGTGTTGTGCACAGTTAGCTCAGGTTGTAGCTATGTAGCTACCTCCGTTAGCTTAGCTCCCACCTCCGCGTTAGCTTGTAGCTACATCCAGGCACGCAGATAGGGTGGGGGACGGGGGGGGTCTGCCCCCCCCCCCATATTCAGATCGACCCCGATTCGTCCCCCCACTAAAGGCCAGAAAGAAAACAAAATCGGAGGTTAAGCGCTTGAAGCTCCTTTTTCCAATTACATTGAACGCAGCATGACGCAAACAAACACCGACTCCAGAGGCGCCAAAGTGGTTGCTGCTAGGACCATCGACATACATATAGGCTAGGACGCAGGATGAAGCGAAAAAGGCAAGCAACGAGTACTGCGTATTTAAAACAGACCAACAGTGTAAGTAGGCGGGACCAATCTGTCTGTTTATGCATGTTGGTTATAGATTCAGTACGTTGTTGTCAGTGTTGGGACTTAATCATTATAAGTGCCAAAGCCTCATTGCTGACTTTAACAAGTCTCATCTACAAATATGATCCCTCATGAAGTTACTACTTTACATCAGAAGATAGTGGAGATGTGGAACCTTCAGGCTGAGCAAAGTTTGGGAGTTTTTAGAGCTTGAAAATCGCCTCCCGCCGTGAGGCTCCCAGTTGGGGAGAGGAGGAGATTTGCGCAGCATGAAGAGCGCAAATATTAGATAAAACGTATAATTGCCGGCAGGTCTGGTCTTTGTTGACTGATCACTTTGTCTGGTAATGACTGACTCTGATTATGAAGCAGAATATTGACTCTGATGAAGAAATTCACTCATCCAGCCGGGAAGATTGACGCTGCTACAGCCAGTATCAGACAGCTGGTGCTGCACGAGAGGTGTGTGGAGTTTACGAGCTCCAAAACGTTGGTTTGATGTTGGTTTAACCTTCTCTGGGATGTGATGGATGTAGAAATGATGGTAAAAACACTGCTAACGTGACAGACGTAGCGACAATGTAAAAAAAATAAAGCCGTAAAATAGAGGCAGATGCCGATGCGTTCCATATGGAAGTCAAAGTGTGCCACATAATCATTTAAAAAGTAAAATATAATGAAAATTTATAAATAATGTAAAAATACGAAGGAACATCTGTTGGTCAGGCTGATTGGAACCACTGCTCTAAGTGATAAGTGAATATTGTTTCTTATTATATTTTATGTGCAGTTTTTTAGGGCTTTTATGTTTTCTGTAAAGATTGGTATGCTGAAAATAATTTAATGTTTTGCATGAAGCATGAGGTTTTGGTTAATAATTGACTGGAAGAATAACAAATGACTGAGTTAAATGGTGGGGCGCCTCTGTCAGAGCACCCCTGGCTACATCGCTTCAGTTTGACGGGTGTCGTCAGTTGATCCCAGCCTTACAGCCCCACCCTCAGCTCCACCTCTCTTCCCTTTTATGGAATTATCTGGGCTTGACGAAACCTGTGACACGGTCAAAATGGCGGTGGTGGCCACCTCCCATTTGGGCTTAAAAACATATAATTGGAGCCTATGAACACTAATTGTCCAGTATATATGTTGATGGCTCCACTCTACCCCACAGCTCCCCCCACCAGCAGAGACCGGACCGGCTACTTTGAAGTAGCAAGTGCGGTATTCTGGACACTTTTCATTAATCGTGTACTGGGTCATTTTAGCATATACTGACTCAAGAATGAACTAAAAATATGAAAAAGTTGCATAGTAGCTATGGCTTTGATGGAAAAAACAAAGTTTAAAGTGGCAGTGTGTAGTTTTCTGGCACTGGGGGCAGGGGTGGACTGGGACCAAAAATCAGCCCTGGTATTTTTACAGACCGTAGGCCCTCGGGGTTGTTTATTCAATTTCAACAGCATTTTGATGGATATTTCCAAAGATTAACAGTGAAAGCTGCACATTGTCTCTTTAAGGCATTTGTCATGACTTAGAAATACAAAACCTGAGAAAATGTATTTGGTTTTAAATAAATTCTATACTTTTGGTTAATATCTTTTTAGGGGGAACCCCATAAAGAAGGAGGAGTCACTCAACCACTTCACCTTGATCCTCCACCAATAACAAAACGCTCTGGACTCCTGCCTACACTCTCGGATTTGAACGACCATCCATAATGTCAGCTCCAGTAGTTGTTCTGAACCGAAGACAAAAAGACCCTTTCACTAGACGTGTTTTGACAGTAACTACATTCATTACAGTATCCTGACCTCCTTTTCAAATCTTCACATTTTCACGAAATGCCCAGGAAATCTGCCGGTAACCTAATACACATTAGTCTTAAGCAAACACATGACCCAGTTAAACTGGCAAGGAAAACTGAAATCCCCTGGACTAAGCTGCTTTTGGAGTGAAGGTTTCCTTCCATTCATCCAGCAAGAATTAATGTTCTCCCAGAAACTCAGCAGCTGACTGCGGTGTCAGCTGGATCACGACACAGCAGCATGTTGTACCTTATTTGTTTTTATTTGAGGTGGGCTATTCATTTCCAGGAAGAGGGATGAAAAAGATGAAGTCCCGAGGACAGAATAACTCATCTACAGAGGCCTAAATGGAAAAGTGATTTGCACAAACACTGTTTATGCTCATTTAAATAATTTAACTGTAAAATCTAAAGCTGGAAACAGTGGTAGTGATGAAAGAAAAGCAGGTAAAACAAGTCTGGTTTTATGATTCATTTGAATGAGACGTTTGGGGTGAATCTCATCACAATTGCACCGATGTGAGGGGTCCTCACCTCTGCTTTGTGCTGCCTCTCAGCCCCATGGCCTTGCTTCCCCTCCATGTCGGTCAGCTTTAGTTTTAAATAGGAGACCTCCCCCATAAGACTCAGCTTCTGCTTCTCCAGTGACGTCCGATGCAGGAGCTCCTGTCACACAGGACAAGGTCAGGCACACAATTTTGCATTGTCCTCATAATTACACTCAATACTCACTCCAGAAAGGCAATCAGAGTGTGAGCCACAACACGCTTGATAATGACAGCTCTCTCACACCACACTGGTTTCACGAAGCTGTTTGGGTTGCTAAATATACACAACCCATGACCACTATTTATAATGTCTATTTCACAGAGCTCTCAAAGTACATAGCTGAGAGGAGGGAGGGAAGCGAAGGGAGGAGAAAAAAAAAGAGCATGCAAAACATTTATTGACAGAACATCAAAATAACTTTGACAGGTGCATTTTCCTGTCTTGTGAGCACAAATGGAGGCCAATCAGAGCTGGTGCTGAGGGAGATTAAGGCTAAACAGCTCTGCAAGATCCCTTCTGAAAGGCTGTCGGCCCTGAGTTTCATCAGACCAGCAGGTAGATGTGTTTCTAATTTGGTTGGTGTCAAGCATGCAGGTGCTGAATCACTCAGACATGAGCTTCAAACTTTTACTAATTAATCTAAAGTTTTTATTAAAGCTTGGCTGCACTTGGAAAATAATAGAGCCTTGTCACCAGAAAGGTATTTTCAGGTTGAAAGTCTTGTAATATCTGTAAAAAAAAAAAAAAAAAACACACTGCTGCAGACTTAACTTTATTGCGTTAAAATTAAATAAGAAAACTTTAAATAAATACCTGGTTGGTCATCTGCCTAAAGCAGTTATGATCTCCTCATATGGCTGTTAGAAGTTGTCTCAGAAGAACACGATGCATACCTCCAGCTGTTAACGCGACTTTAAAGCTCACATGCACGACCAACTTCTACTGGAGCACCACTTTACTCTCTCTCCCTCTCATCTCTCCACCTTCTACAGCTGTTCCTCCCCTCTTTGGCTGCTCCTCTCTCCCTCCCTCTGTTGTCCCTTCCTGTCCCTCTCTTTCTCTCCAGAAGCTTGCTGCTACAGTGGTTATGGGTTGGAAGGGGGAGTGGCTAACTGTGCAGTAATCTCCTGCCCAGACAGACGAGTTTGGCCCTGCATAAACCAGACATATACACTCTTGAGTAAGAAACTGTCCCGGAATGAGGCTCAGTGTCCTAAATATTTTTTGTTGTCAAGGTAATCCACAGCTCAACTCACAGGAAGCTATAGGGAAAGACATGCTTTTTTTTCTCTGAACTCATTTTTGAGCACTTTTTCCAACTTACAAAATAAATTTAATTAAAATAAAATACATGTCTCTGCAGGAAAACAGAACAATAATGTTGATTTAGCACTAGTGAATTCCCAACTTTGACCCAGATGCACTTTTAGCATTTGTCCCTGAAAATGTTCAGTTCATAATGTAAAGTCAGATGCGTCTAATACCTGTTGCAGCATCTCCTCTGTGCAGTTGAGTTTGTGCTGATGCTCCATCAAAGAGCTTTCTAAATCATTGATCTTCACTCCTTGAGCCTCCACCTGGTCCGTCAGCACACTCACCTGTGTGTTTTTGTGCGTGTGAACAGAAGCAAAAGCAAAGAAACAAATTCAGGTTCTTGTAATTGCAGCTTATTTTCTATAGTTGCCTACAAGATGAAGCTTCTTTATTATTTCTGAGTTTGGTCTAATGACTTCCTACTTAGCTATTTTCCCTGTCTGTTCTACTTTCATAAGACATCCAGATCTTTTCCAGACTATGCAAATGTTTTCATTAAGAAAAACAAAACAAGAATGATCCAGTTGGTGCTTGCCACACTTCAGTAATCACATGCTTGCACAAGGCACTTTCAGTCTGCACAGAAGCTTTAAAAGCTGATCACATGCTAAAAAAAAGCATGTCCAGCATGCCAGCTGGGATAGGTTTTCTTAAAGAATGTTGTGTATAAAGACTGAAGAAATAAACAGGGCACCTGCTCACTCTCACACACACACACACACACACACACACACACACACACACACACACACACACACACACACACACCTACATACAATAGAGCGAGCCTCGACCTGTCTACAAAGCCCTTATTCAGCAGCTCTGAGTTCTACACACACCTACAGATACAAGACAAACACATCAGCAAAGACAAAAGCTTGTGGTGTAACACAACCAAACCCACTTCATGACTGTTTCTTCACCTGGGAAGTGCAACAGTAACCCACACTTATGCAATGTTGACAGTACCATAAGTCACGTTTGTCATCTCTGTGCAACAGAATCCAACCTGTAGAATTAGTGACTCTTTGTCTCCCTCCAAACGGGATAAACGCTCCTGGTAGGACTCGCTGCCGCCGTCAGAGCCAACGTTCTCCTGCACGATCGAGGTCACAAGAAATGTCAGCACAATTAACTTCTTTAGCAACCTTAGACACGTGTGTGAGCGCTCGCTCACTCGCACACACACACACGCGCACACACACACACACACACACACACACACACACACACACACACACACACACACAGTCGGAACACATACAGAGCTTTTATGAGGTTTATGTTTAAAACCAGTATTACCAGTTGTGTATGTTGGACACAAGCTGAGTTAAGGTGGAAAAGGTTTGATACGATCACTTCATCAGTGATGATGATTGATGAAACATCAGGAAACCCTATTTCATCTTTTTGAACTGATCATTTCAAAGAGCCCACCACCTTTGTCAGTGTTATTAAAACTTGGCCTGGCTTAAAAGACTAAAACAGGAAACAACATTTTATTACTACAAGATCAGATTATTAACCCATTCATTTGACCACCAATAAAAAGAAAAGCATTCAAATGTTTCTGTTTTATACTTTTCTATTAATCTGAGAAAATGAGGGATATTTTACAAGGAAAAATATAATTATAGAAATAATATTTTAATGCAATAATCTTTCCTGTTTTTATTCAAAAATCCTCATTTTTAGAATGTATTTGTTTTTTTTTCTCCATTTAAGTTCAGTGTTTTAATAGTAAGTGGCTGATTTCATTTTAAAGGGACTAAAATGTTAATTTCAGATAATCTTACTTTAGAACTTTTGCGTTTATTACAATTAATTTAATTAGAACACGATTATCCTTGTTGTCTGAATTTTTAACAAAACTTCAAGATCATTTCTCTTCACAAACAAGTATTTCTGACCAAATTAATCAATTGAAATTCCACTTTTCTTAATTTTCCTTTGCCTGGAATGTCATGTGTACTTGTTCAGAATCACGTGGCAAGTATTAGGAAGCGTGAGAAAATAAATACATGAGATAAAAACTTCTGACAAGTTGGAACCACCTTTTATCAATCAAATATGTTTCACGTTTATTTTCTTTGGGGGGGGGGGGGGGGGGTGCTGGTGCCCGGTCTTTCTGCAGTTGAGACTGGAGGTCTAAAAAGTATTACACGTTTTCTTTTTGTTTTGTTTTTCAGATTAAAGCTTTGCACAAAAGTTAGACAAAAGCAAAAACTCACCACAGATCTGTGAACTCTGGCTGCACATGTGCAGTGATTCTGTTTCCTTTGTGGTTCTAGATTTAACATGTTAGCCTTTTTTTACAGTTTCCCATAAAACTTCCAGATCAGAGCTTAGAAATATTTACCAGTCTAAAGTAACCCAAGAGAGAACGTGCCAGATCCATTTAGCTTCTGACCTTTTCTGAGGGTGAAAGGTTGCAGTCAGAGGGATATAATGTGATACGATTGTTCACCAAATTGATTTGTTTTCTTTAAAAGTTTGGTGTTTTCTTCACTCAGAAACAGTCTTGCAAATTTTTGGGGTGTTTTTTGCAAAAGCATACTGCTTGAGTGATTTTAAATTAGATTATTCATAAGAACAAATTGTGGTTTATTTTCCTTTTCTGTTTCCACGAGCTGCCATGGAACGTATTCAGTATCTTCAAAAGAAAATTTAGTATTGACTAAGATGAAACATGAGTGCATTTTTGCTACAGCATGCTACAGTATGTCACACATACTTCTTATGGAAACTGTCACATGTACTTCATGTATGTTCCTTTATTAATATTTATACAGAATGATAAAAGTAAAACTTATATTTAGCAAACCGCCAGTGCACTTGCTTCAGTTCTACACTGTTGTTGTTTTCAAAACAAACAAACAAACAAAATCACTCAAAATAAGAAGGGTTGAACTTTCTGTAATGAGCTCGTCTTATTTCTTTCAGATTTTTGATTTTTCCTGCATGAACCTTTTTCTCTCCACAACAATCATAGTAGATTGGATGAGTGACTGCAGCATCTCTTTGGTCAAAGACAAACTATGTCTTCTCCTAAATTACCAACTGTGGCGACTGTAATTACACTGGGAAAGCAACAAAATGCACACAAGCTCTGAGTGCCTGAGTGAAAGTGTGAACGAAAGAAGAGCAGACATGCAAGTGGGGAATGTCTTACCTTCCTGAGCCAGGCAAAATGTTTGTAGAAATCAATATGATACTCCATCCTGCAAGCCCATTGTAGTCAACGTCAGGATTTTAAACATCGAACAGAATTTAGCCAGTGCTGTAAGGCACCGTGTGTGGTGAATAAACACAGAAAAACTAATTTTAAGCTGCTTTTGCTCATTTTACAACAAACCCATTCTGCAGAGATTGCAGAGGGGATCTATGTCCGTGTGGTTTGGAGCTGAGGCTGCCTCAGACTTTTACAGCTCAACTGAATAAGTCAAGCTGTGCCAGTTGGCTGTTCTCCCCCCTGATCCCCCACCCCTTCCTTTTTTTCTCTTAACTATTCTCTTCCCCCCCCCCCCCCCCCCTCTTTTTTCTTTCTCATAAATGCTCCAGGTGCTTCATTTCAGCAGCACATTTCCCCCTGTTTATCATGAAAGATGTTTATTTTTCTTCTGTGCACTATTTCCTTTTAGCGCTGTCCTTCCTTCTCTCTGTGTCCGTCTTCAGTGTTCTGGCACTACCTCTCAGGAAAGCTCATTTTGTAGTCCTTCCTAAATGGCAAAAGGGGAGAGGAAACTTTTTTTTTCTCCTCAACAACACATGCTTCTCAGATGTGGTGCAGGGCAAGAAGTCAGCGAAGGCGACATGGAAGAGGAGGAGGAGGCAGAGGAGAGTGAAAGTGAGGTAGAGTTGACAACATCATATCTAAAAAAAAGGGGGGGCACACATGGTGTAGCTTACGTGAAACACTGAAATGGGCTTCTGACAAGTAATTGATAGAAATTAGAGAACATAAGAGCAAATGAGGGAATGTGGAAGCTTGTGCTTTAATCAGAAGCCCTGGATCTCATTACTGGTGTTTATTAGATCCTGCTTCCAGTTCACTTCTCGGCAGACAGGAAAGCAGGCCCCCAGATGTTGATGGCCAGGATCAAAGACAGCATCATGCAAATACTACAACCAAGGAAGGAAGCATGCTGTCACAAATGAATGCCAAATATCTCAATTCCCCCTTTTATGGAAAACTATACAATTCAACTAGGGATTTTTCAAATGTGCACAAACAATTTGCACATCTAACAGTTACGTTGTCAGTGATTTGTGCCGAGAGCCTTCCAGGGCAAATGCAACAGCACAAACTTCATCTTGTTGCAGCCAGTTTTTATCATTTGGGCTGTATCGGAGGAGACTTGTTTCCTGAGAGTAACCTGATCCTCCTGACTGTCCTGGCTCTCCCGCAGGGCCCTGGAAGCCTCGGTCCGCCTAAGAGAGTAAGAGCCTCAGCAGAGGGGTCAGGGAGTGGGGGGAGGGGCAGGCGTTGAATAAATTCTGAAGAATGGTCATCTAACTTTTTTAGAGCACTTAACAGACCTCCACCCAATTTACCTGGAATAAAAATACTAAAATGTAATAAAATACTAGGTTTTATTAAACTGCCATATAGCATGATTGACTGAAATGATAATCATGTGAGAAAAAGAAGACGAAGAAAGACAAGAATTCCCTCATTGGGGGCACTAATGCTCCCCAATCCTGCTTGTTGAAAGCTGCTGTCTGGAGATTTCCCATTTCAGGACATATGTCACCAGAAATCCATAAAAGTGATTGTCTTATCATGTACTGTGATAAAAAGTAGCCGATACTTTATT